TTTGGCCGGCCAAAAACTTTCCAGATCGTTCTCCGTTTCTGTATGTTTGCTGTAGGAGCAAGGCATAGGGTCAGTGTTAAAAAGTGGGTCACAGGATGCTTGGATTTCCTGGACAGGATGAAGCTGCCATCGCTGTTTAGATTCCTCTCATAGAACGAACCAGGAGGGGCCTTCACAGAAAGTTCCCAGTGCCCTGTTCTTACCAGCTTCTGGTCATGGGAAGGAAAGATGGCTTTGGAAGGCCTAAAACTCACCCAATCAGCTCACATGGTTGCAGTACGCACACGTGCTCCCTTGTACGTAAGAACACACCTTGGGGAAGAAGGATCTCAGACTCCTTTGCCATCAAACGATTAGGTGCCTGCGTGCAGCTCTTCTAGATTCGGTTTATGGTGCCTTCATGTGCTAAGAACGACATGTAATCGTAAGCACCACTGAAGCAATTTTGCAATTCAGTTCAATAATGAAAGGCTGTACCTTTCTGTACCTTAGTTCACTGAAAAGGTAAAACAGGCCCAAAAGCTGTTTTTCTTTCTGTGGGGAGTGGTGAACCTTATAATAGAAAAGACAGGGCACTGTGAGGATTTTTAAAGAAGTTTCATCTACGTACCGTTGTTTGGGGTAACAGATGCTGGAGATCTCGGTGCACCGAAAGTGTTTTTAAAAAAAACATGTCCTTTTCTATCATCCATTTTTCAGGGTATTCAAAGCCTCAAATCATTCCATTTTGGAGTGGGGAATAAAGATCTACATGCCTGGAAATTTCATTGCTTTTTTTTTTTTCTTGGTGGGGACTCATTTTAGGTTTAATGGGCCGAGCCATCCCTCCGGACAGACACAGTCCACTCAACTTAAAAGAACCACATCACATCCGGGGCTCCATCACGCAAGGTAATCATGCTAGAAAGGCAGGAGAGCTTTCTCGGTGTCCATTTTCTGCCTAGGCTTAGCTTGGTTTGATTCTGCTAGGTCAAGGAAGAAACGAAGTGGAAAGATGTCTCTTTTTTTTATCCTGAAGGAAGGAGAAGAAGCATTGATGGGACCTCTCCATATTGTTTTCTTTTAGGAATTCCTAGATCCTACGTGGAAGTTCCAGAGGACTATCCCCGAAGGGAAGCCAAGCAGCTGAAGAGGGAGAACACACCTCCAAGGGAGTTGCCAGAAGCCTACAAGGTCAGGAGCCATGAGAACCTCACCCCATTGAAGTTGAAAGCGGTTCACGAAGGGCTGGTCACCACCGTGAAAGAAGCCGGGAGATCAATCCATGAAATTCCCAAGGAGGATCTACGGCACACGCCTGATATTTCTCTGATGGCCCGGCCCGTTAAGGAAGGCTCGATTACCCAGGTATCTCACGGGGCTTGTAACCCTTGAAATAAATCAAATCAAATCTTTATTGTGGTCATAGAGCAGCCTATTTGAAATTCCCCCCTGGATAAAAAGATAGGGAATGTGATTGGGTGTCGGGGTGCATTAAGCTAAACAAAAATGTATTGATAAGTGTTCTCCTTTTTTTTTTTTTTTTTAACTAAAAAAGAAAAGAGTTGGAAGTTACTTTGCCGTTTCTTGGCAATCTGGTGCCCAAATTCCCCAGCACAGTTGGGGTTGGTGCATTCCTTTGGGCCTTGGGTTGGCTGCCCTTCATTTAAATTAACCCCAGCTTGACCCCCATGAGATTTAATGATGAACTGCACTCATGTAGAGCAAACAGATGTTTCTAACCTCTCCTTGGAGGCCTGCCCGAGTGCATTTACACGGTGCCAAATTATGGCTTGGCATTACACACAACCCAGGGCACCGGCTTGTTCCAAAACTGCCAGATGTGATCTTTGCCTTAGATGGATTTGAATCCAGGCCTCTCCTCTGCTTTCTCCAGCTTGAACCTCTGCGTCTGTTTGCAAGCACATGGTCTCCTAGTAGTTCCAGATTTACAACATGTTGAATCAGGGCTTGGACCATGTCCTCTCTCTCTCTCTAGGCTGGTAAATTTTTGGGGTGGTCTCCATAGAAGCAGGATGGGGGCTATCACAGGGATACCATATGTTCCCAGGCCCTGCGGTAACAGATCACCAAATTCAAGGAGAGCCTTGGTGCCCCCTGCTTTCATGCTGGGATTGGTGTTAGATGAAACGGAATATGTCTTCTCAAGAGCATCTCTCTAACATACATTAGCTCATCTAAATTGAATTGTCTATAGCAGTATTTCTCAACCTTGGCAACTTTTCTTTTCTTTTGAGAAAACCTGGGTAAGCTTTGAAGAAAACTGCAAAAATTCCAAGGGGGGAAAATCACTTTGTCTCTATAGACCAGTGTTTCTCAACCTTAGCAACTCTAAGATGTTGGTGTTTCTTCAACCCACACGTCACCCCCCCCGCGCGGCGTGCGGTGGGGGT